CCAGAGTGGTTGCATATCCGCGGTGGTTTCGATAGAACAACATAATCTCGGAAATTCCTCGTCAATAGGCAATAAGAGCATTAATTTCTAATGATTCGTCCATCAGTCATCATCCCCGAACAAGTATATTGCATCCCGGTAAACCAGAGACGGTATATTTTCTTCCTCACAACATGAGGCATCGAGTCGCTGTTTCCATCTAAAAGAATGCTAAAGTTAGTATCCGAACATCTTCTTTGTGTTTTGGAGAATGTGTTCTTTTACTCCATATATGAAATTTCAGGCTTCACGGCCTTCTCTGTACTAATTACCTGAACAGAATCTGCTAGAATCATTATTGTTGTTGTACAAGAAAGTTGCTTGTTCAGAACTACTGATGCTTACATGTTGAGTCAACTGTGTTTGTTAACAAATAAGATTGTAATAAATAAGTAAAGCCAGTTTACTGCTATCTGAAAATTTTCTGGCTTCAGCATGATTTTTGCCGACGCTGCACCTTGGTCCGAGATTAAATGCATCTGCATATCTGATGACAGCGCCTCCTCCACCTGCTCGTCTGGCGTTTTTGTTCCTAGAATTTGGACTTGAAGCTCTTCTTTTGTTTCATGGCTGCTGTCCATTTTCTTCAAGAGAGCTGAAAAACTTGGCTAATCTCTGAGACACAGTCTGCTGGCTCTCATCCAGTGATTCTTCACTGCCGTCGTAATCATTGTCGTTCTCATAAACTAAATAAAAACCAGCCTTCTTTAGCTCTACGCCCTTCACAAAGGGCGGGTTTCGCCTCGTCACTTTAATCTTAAAGCCATCCTTCAACAATGAAACCAAGGGATGAGGAGGAGGATATCGATACAAGTGAACATGCTTGGTTCGTTTTCGGTCCCCCAATTAAGTGCAAGGAAGTGGTGAATATTGCCCTGTCACCATCAAAGATCTGTGCCTGACGTCCACCGCCACAGGTATTTGATATCTCAGTTCATCTGGTCCATGATGGTTAACGGAAACAACTACCACTAGTATCACCCCGGTGAGATCAAGGCTTTTGTGGCTCGAATAAGAAACTGTATCTTGCGAAATCCAATCCGGAATTCTACTTCCGGGCATGCTTAGATTTTCCAGATTCTTGAGATAAACCTTTGAGAGACTTTTCTTTGCAGCTGAAGCACATGTGCTGCAATTACTCATGTACAATCTCCTCAAGGAGGACTTCAAGTACTCTAGGCCTGGAATATCAACCAACTTCTCACAGTTTGTGAGGTCTAAATATCTTAAGCCCTCTAAATTGGAGAGATCAGACAAATGCTACAATGAAATACAGTTTGCAAGGTTCAGATTCTCCAAACTCGAAGGAAGTGGAGGGAGGGACTCGAGCTTTTCGCAGTTGGGCAGCCGGAGATCTTTGAGAAGCGATAATCCACTTAGGCACGACAGAAGTTTATGAAAATCGTTGCTTCCTAGAAACAGAACCTCTAAATTCGACAACTTCTCGAAATCATCCGGGATTTCACCACATATTCTACAGGCCCAAACGTCGAGTTCTTTTAGCGATGACAGATTCGTGAAAGATGGCGGAAACACCACTAATGGTGAATTCGGTTGACTTGTGTACTGTATTTCTCTCCTATTGTCAGTACCTGCAAGCTTGTGAGCATGCCAAAGCTTTCCGGTAATTCCTTCACCGCGGTTTCTTTCATGTATAAATGATGCGAAGACTTCAAATTTCCCATTGAGGATGGAAGTTTATGAAGCTTTCTGCATTGGTTCAATCTTAACGTAATAAGATTTTCTAACATCACGAAAGACTCCGGCAACTCGGTAATACCGGCGTTGTATATGTTCATATAAGTAAGAGCAAACAAGCTCCCGATTGACTCTGGCAGAGATTCAAGTGAAATGCAATTCATTACCCTAATCTTCTCAAGTAATGTCAATTTGCCGATATAACTTGGGGGACAAGTAATTGATGTGCCTTCAATATCAAGTTCCACAGCAGACGACAGCCCTCGAAATGAATCTGGCAACTTGCTAATCTGCTTGCCTCCTACAAATAAGCTTTTCAGATATGATAAAGTACCTAATGAATTTGGCAACTCAGTAATTGCACTGCCCTGTGTGAACAACTCTTTCAATAATTTGAGATCGCCGACGGTATCGGGAATCACAGTGAGAGATTTGCAAGATATTAAACTTAGTTTTTCCAAGTTCTCCAAAGATCCATCAGAATCGGGCAACTGCTCTAATGCAGAGTGATTGAGACGAAGTTCCTTGAGAGAAACGAGCATTCCTATCCATGTTTGCAACCGTCTAGGATCAGTTTTTCGAGCTTTTCCAGGCGGTAAATAGATTCAGGCAGCTTGTTTATGCCGGTGTGATCGACATAAAGTTCTTTGAGTGATCTCATGCTGCCGATGCTTTCTGGTAACTCCTTCAACTTGGAGCAATCACTGAGGGCAAGGGTTTGAATATTTTTCATTCCTAAAACATCACTAGGAAACTCAACAAGGTTTGAACAATTTGTCATATCCAAGTGATTTAATGACTTTAAACTACCAACTGATTTGTGAATGTTTATCAGTGCCACACTGTTCTTGATAACAATCTTTTCCATCTCTCTGTCCTGATAAATCGGGAAGAGACGATGTTAATTGTTTTCCCTCCAATCAGACGATGATACGAGTGGGTCAACAAATAATTAATTTAAATTATAATACAAATCCTTCAATAAAATAATGACACATGTCGAAAATGATTAGAAGATTAAATTTATTAAATTAAAAGTAAAATCAAATTGATAGAATATATAACTATTGAGGATTAAATGTGGAATTATGTCAATTTCGTTAACTGCCACATTAGCACTTTCATTAGTTGTTAACGACATGATGTCAGTTGCTTGATTGACAATAATTAAAAATTAAAGTGGTCTAATTGACAAAATTGAAAGATCGATTTTAACCTTTTTTGTTGTGATCAACTCTCAAATATAAATTTTATTTTTGTGTAAAATATAAATTTAATAAATGAACATTCAATCGTATTTAACTTAAAATGATCGATAATTTCAATTTTAAAAGACTTAATATTTTCTGACCATCAAAAATTATTTCGACCGATTCTTTAACCTAAAATGTCAATATCAGCTTTGGAATCAAAGGTAAATTAAGATCGTTTCCTAAAGTATTGATATTACTAGAAAAAACAAAGGGCAAAAATCTGCTGCCATTTTGTTTCACGAAATTAGAAAAGTGAGAATTTGAGATCAGAGAATGGCGGCGAAACCACTCGCAACGTGCGCAACTCCGCCACATGTAAAATTATTGCACTTAAGTGCTTCGAGTATCCATATCTATTGTCCCAAAGTGTCTAAAATTCTCTGTATAAAATCTATAAATTTCACGACTACTTAACTGAAGTTACCTTCAAAGAGAAGCCATTACAGTGGGAAGCATAGGATTCTCCAAACACAACACTTTAATGTTCCAAAACTATGATTCAAATAGTATGGGTAAAGACAAAATGTGCCATATGCTGATCTTTTAGCCCTAATGGAATATGGACTGCCCCAACTTTGCTATATTCTAACCTACTTAATGCTTGTTTCTTATTAAAAAAAAAAAAGATGCTTCTGCTATTCCTATCTGGGTTTGTTCTGGAATTCACGTCCATCAATAATTATACATATATTTTGTTTTTATATTCCTTTAAGATATGTATGAAAAGAGATAAAAATAGCGACTCCAACTTAAGAGTGGTTGAAATGGTCAGAGCATAAGGCTGTGGACCATGGCTGCTGGCAAATTACAGTGGATGTGGACATCAGTTGGTAGTGGTTAAGAGTATTAAAGTTTGGGAACTGTGATGTTCAACTCCGAACGTACGTGCATGGGAATCTCTACTCCTTTGGGCCGCAAATTCTCATTCGAAGTTGGCAAAAAGGTATAGCATAGCATACGGGTATATATATATACAAGTTTTGAATCGAAATATAAGAAGGAAATTTTGAAGACAGAAAATTTTATTTGTCAAACTTTGAATAAATATTCTCTGAAGTTTCTGTTTTAAGAAAATACAAAAAAGTAGAGAAAATTAAGATATATAAATGTTTATCATGTGATTTAATGTCTCATAATATTATAACTTGAATCACTGATTTTATTCAAATAATTTAATATCTTATTTCACTATACCAATTGATAGTTAGTGTTTTATAATAAAATATGGTTTACAACTATAGGTGGTTCATCCTCTTTTTTATTTGGACAGAGAGTCACAATCAGTAAGAGAATGGTCGTTAACCGGTGTTTATGTTCTCTATCATAAGGAGGTAGAAGAAAAAAAGTGACGCAAAGAAGATTCCATCCATTTTCTTATTTAGTCGAAATGTTTTATAGTAACTCTTAGAGCTTATAATAGGCGTAGGATCATCATAACTATTCGTAGGCTGACAGGTTAAGTGGATACAGTTAGCTGGTGGCAAATTTAATTTTGGTAGACCATGTAGACATGTCAAATGTTATGTTAATAAGTTGTAGTTTCTCAAGGAATGTTAGATATTCGATGTCCTATTTTCACAGACATTTGCTTTATGCTTTCAGAGATCCTGAGGAACATGAGAGGCTGGAGGCTCAAAGATGCTTCTGTGTCATTCGGAGGTTCTAAGGTGCAGAAGAGATTTAAGTTATAATTATTTATCCCCTTAATTTGAAGGAATTCACTTTTAATTGAAGGAATTCATAAAGTGATTTGATCCGAGATTTAATCGTTGAATAGATTATTTGTTGGAGAATGAAGATAAACCTTTCAAGGTTTATAACTAATAAGTATTATTCTCATTAGTATTATTTTTAAGATTCGAACTTAGATTCTCTCATTAGCAACACATGGCCTGAAATATAGGTTAAGCATACGATACAATGAATGGTACGTGACTCAAATCTTTAGAGCGGTATATATACCCTCCAAGTTCCATAACTCAATGGATCACCTAAAGTATTATGCTTTGTTGTTCTCGTACGTAAGGCATGATGTCCTTTTAAGTAGTTAAGCCGTGCATGAAAATACGCACACTCAAAGCAAACGTATCAAAAACCAGCTGTTCCTCCCTCCCTTTCAGAAAGTAAGAATCACCCCTCTATAAAAGAATACTAACCAGCAAGTGAAACATCAAAATTCTTGCCTTAACTCCTCCTTTCCTTCTCATATAAACCATTTATACAGACAAACTCTACAATCTTCTTTTTTTCCTCGTCCATGTTCTAGGAAACATATTATTGCTTAAATAAAACCATGAGCGCCGGTAATAATTGCTGTTTGTCGTTTAAAGCCTTGTTTGGGGCACTTGTAGTTTTGGGGTTCATCTTAGTTGGGACCCTGCAGAGTGAAGGGAACGAAACAACGACAAAGACCACGGCCGACGAGGATGATGAGTCCTGGTCGTGGAAGGGAAAGGCGACGCTACAGAAGGAAGAGCAAGTGAAGGACTTCGGCAGAGGAAAGTTGTCGGGTTTGGTGCACCGACGGATGGATCTCAACTACATGAGCAAAAGAAGAGTTCCTAATGGACCTGATCCTATTCATAACAGGTCTGCTTCTACGCTTCTACTATATTTTTGGCAATCTAGCCAACATATTTTTATCAACTTATTTTTTGGATAAACTACATTAGTAATCCATTTTGTTTTTATCCTGTCTTATTTTGGTATCTAGTTTCTAAAAGGTTATGTTTTGTCACTTTTATTTTTTATCGTAAATTTATGTTAGTTTATGGGCGTTGCATGTTAGTAAAAATAGTTAACTTGACCTTGAATTTTAACAGAATACTAGTTTGATCTTAAACTTTAGATAGAATACTAATTTAACCCTAAAACTTTAGATAAACTATTAGTAAGGTCAAATTAGTAATTTATCCAAAGTTTAAGAGTTATATAGTGTTTTATTTAAAGTTTAAGTTCAAATTAGTATTCTATTTGAAATTTAGGGATTCAATTAAAATTTAACATAAATTAACGGGAGTTAACATCCTATGGACCAAATTAAGAGAAAGAAAAATAAAAGTGATCATAACTAATTTTTTTAAATGATGACCAAAACGTTACGTTTTTTTAAAACGGTAACCAAAATAAACCAATCCAAAAAGAAAAAGAATCACTAGTGTAGTTTACCCTTTATTTTGACCATGCTTTGCTTTCATTAGTTTGCTATACCAATCTGCAATACACCTTCTCTTTTTCTTTTTTGAGAGAGTGCAGTTACAAAGCAAAACAAATCTATAGAACTAAAGCAATTTGCAATTGATTGATAGTATCTTTTCTCTTTGTTAATTTCCCTTTTAAACAGGCGAGCTGGCAACTCGGGACGACCGCCGAGGCAAGGTTAGGCATCAAAGCACGGCGGCCGGAAGCTTCGAATCAGCCGAAGCGGTGAAAGACGATGACATCAAAGCCATCATATCTGGCATATATTGTGCATGTAATATTTTGGAAGTGGGACTATAAATATTTGAAATATTTGGATTATCCATTTTAGCCTGCATGCATGTAGTTGTGTTTTTTTTTAGAAGAAGGGAGAGAATACAAAATATGCTCATCGAAAGCTCTAGCAGAGAAAGATAGCCAGCATCTAGCTACCCTTTTGTACGTTGAAAGAAAAATTATTTTATTAATTAGTTGGTAATTAAATATTAACCCTTAAATTAATTAATAAATACATAGAAAAGAAACATGTAGGATTAAGGAACAATATGTGGTGGAACTTGGTAGTGGAGACATGTTCTTTGGCTTTGAGTTGTTTTACTTTATTTTTTCTATAACAGTTTATTGTCGGTTTAGTTAAAAATATATACTTTATCCCATTTTTTTCAAGTCTGCCAAACAATATAATGTGATTAACACAAAATTAATTGATACTTTCAAAACAACAATTGAACTAGACAAGTATTTTAGGATGTCCATGACGGTGATGACAATTTTGATGTATTGGTTTTTTTGGTTGTCCCTTGGTTTCTAAGGCTTTATTTTTTTTAATTCGGATCAACTTGAGTTATATATCTGGTTTTGGTGAGCGAGTTTATCAACGATGATTTTTTGCATACATAAGGACTCAGCCTAAGATATAATTCACTTAAGTGACATCAAATTACTTACCACTTCTACCATATATTCAGTGCCCGAACTATTGCTATCGTTGTGCATTGTGGGAATATGGCTGCAATTTTAGAAATAGGAGAGAATATGGACCAGAATTTTCTTCAGTTCGATCCAGCTTAACTCCTCGGGAAGTCGAGCCCGATACTGCACGTAAAACTCAGGACTATTTTTTTTTTAAAACTCCCTTCTGTGCTAACTGTTGTGGCTTCGGTACTATAGATGTGTCGAAGCGAAAAGCATTTTGTTGTTTAAAGTAAGGTTCCACCCACTACATCCAACCTTTGACCTGCACCATAATTTGATTAGAGAAAATTAAATTTTTCGATTAAATGTAACAACTAAAAACTCAACTTGATTTCATTGTTCGTAATTTTATAAATCCGGCTCAAACTTTAAATAAATTTTAAGCTGTAAAATTAAATTCGAATAATTTAAATAACATAAAACTTTTAAAATTAGTACATTGATTTTTAAGTTAGATTAAAGACTCTCGGTTCTGCATGATATATTCGCATCACATATGAAAAAAATATGTATATATATATGTGTGTGTTGCATATGATTATATAAAATCGTTTAAATTGGAATCAATTAGTATCAAAACATTATAAACTTTTAAAAAATTGTTAATTATCTGTATTAAATTTGAGTATGATCGATCAATTTTGGTTCTAAACAGATGCCCTCTTAGTTCTCATCCGTTTTAGTGTGTGTGGAGAATAAGATTGTAGGAAGTGCAAGTAATGGGTTTAATCAGTTAAAGCAGGCAGAGGAGTACAAACGTCTTTATCAGATGTAACGCAACTTGCAAAAGATAGCACTCATTCACACAGCCCCACCAAGACTAGATTGATTGCATTCACGGGATGAGGTTGAATCCCTAAGAGGGTGTTTGGATCATGATTACTGTATTATAAGGGGATTTTTTTAAAAATATGATTCTTCCATTTGGATTGTAAAGCCTGTAATAATTTATTATTAATAGTGACATTTTGAGGGTTTATTACTAGGAATGTGATTCCCTCAATCCCTTAAGTATTTTTACATTTCCGACGTTTTGGATTAAAATACCCTTAACATAATTTTTTTCTCAAAAATATCATTATTCTGTAGTTGAATAAAAAAATCTACGAATGTTACATTGTAAATTTATCCTTTAAACTATTTTAGATTTACAAAAAAAAATCATAATTAAAATTTTATATGAAGTTCAGGGGTTAAAATAAAATTAAACCCTTTCATTAAACCTATTTATCTTTTAAATTTTGTAAAAAAATATATGAATTTTATGAATTTAAAATTTTAAATAAAATATATAAATTAAAATAGTAAAATTATATATTTTTTATGATATTTTATACAAATATTTTCATTTTAATATTTAGAATTCAACTTGTTAAAAAACCGATATATAATAAGGACAATTTGGTAAAATATACATTCCAATAATCTTTTATTTTTTTAACCAACACTGTAATTTTACATTCATGCTAAACGAACCAAACACAACAACGTAACATTTCCAATAATGTGTTAGGTAATGTTAAATTCAGGTAATCATATTCTCGGAGTAATGCTACATTTCATGAGCCAAACGCACCTTAAAAGACTTCCCTTTTGAATCGAAAATTTCACAAATATTATCCTCGTTTAAATTATGATTGCGATCAAATTTTTTAGTTGTGTTATGTTTATTGTTATAATAGATATAACATATGTTGTTGTAGCAATCGTAAAAATCAGAGTCATATAATAATAATTTTAAATTATATCATTATCGATGTATATAGATCGTTATCCATATAGTAAACCGTTATTTAAATCATTAAATATTACCATAATAAAGAGATAAATGTGGTATGGGAGTGGGGTAAGGAGCACGTGGTTTTGTACTCCAAGGGACACAGGCTGTGCTGCAAAAATCAGAAACAGAGAGACCGTATAATGAAAGATTAGCCAAAGCGATTGACGTTTTACTGAATAGCTAAACCCCACATGCCTTGCCTGCTTTGGTCCCAATTCTCACGTCCAAAAAGGAAGATCCACTTAACATAAGATAATAAACCACATCATGTTTGACCATCGACCCCTATCACGAGAACTTCGTGTTGCCTGCGTATTTCATGCAACTTTAAGGGGCTAAATGCACTTTACGATATATTATATGTTCGATAAGAGAGTTTAATTTTTTTTTTTAAATGAATACATATTAGGAGAAGAATCATAAATTTTGAATAATGACTATAACACGTACTCGCAAAATACTATAAAAAGATGGTCATAAATTCTGAATAAAGTCTGTATAACGAACATAAAAATTAATATAGTAATTATCAAGGCCTTCTACTGATACTAAAACGTATCAAATGTTAATTCATCGTATAAAACTAGTTCGAATCCAAAAGGAAAAAGAAACATGACCATAAATATCAAAGTATCCACTTGGAAGCAAATATTATAAAGATGTTTTAAGGAAATTAGTTCATCAAATGCACTCTATTTGCAACCGTTCATTAAAAAAGTAATGATTAGCTTCCAAATATGTTCCAGGGAAATTAGTTTATCATTTTCCACTAGATGGAGCAGCTCGCAGGGATAATAAGGAACGATTTTCAACTGCATTTAAGCCAACGATCACTGCAGTGCAAGATGATGATTCATGTGATATACAGAATTACCCAACTTATTAGCATTAAAACAAGGAATCCTGATCATGTGGAAATCATACCAATTGCAGAAAATGCCTTAAAACAGAAGATACCATACACAAATGCAGATATGTTGGTCATTGCCTGCATTTAACTCACAATCACCGCAGTATACCCCAAACAGGGTTACTCCTAATTATCATGATCTTGTTGTTTCCCGAAGATCAGCTGGAACTCGTCGTAGTGTCAGCGGCACCATGTTTCTCGCCCATGCTCTTCAACGACTCGTAAACCTGGTACATAGAAGGTCTGTCCTTTGGCCTAGGAACCACACAAGTACAAGCAATTCTCAGGAACTGCATCAATTCATCATCGTGACCCTTCCCGACCAATGCTTTATCGACGGCATCCTTGCTTCGACCGGTGCTGAATAACTGATTGACCCAATCCACCAAATTCCCCTTAAACCCTTCCTCTGCGTTGCTAACTCCGATCGGTTTTTGGCCCGTAACCAACTCCAACAACACTACCCCGAAACTATAAACATCCCCTTTCAAAGAAGCAACCATGGTACTTGAATACTCGGGAGCTACATAACCAAACTCCCCTAAATCCCCATTCATAAATGAACTGTCATTCGAGTCACGAGACCCCATCAATCGTGCCAAACCGAAGTCGGCTATTCGAGCATCGAAATCATCATCTAGAAGCACAACATTGGAACTGAAGTACTGATGAACATACGGCGGTTGGCATCCATGGTGAAGCCAAGCTAAGCCTCTAGCAACACCAACACCAATCCTAAGCCTATTTGACCAATCCAAAAACTCAAACTTCCCATTCCCTATACCAAGAAGACTCCCTCCATGCAACTGAGAATACAATGTCCCATTGGGCATATGCTTATAAACCAAAAACCTCTCTTCTTCCACAACACAAAACCCTAAAAGTGGAACCAAATTTGGGTGCCTAAGTTGTCCCAACCTATTCATTTCCGACCTAAACTGTTTCTCGGTAAGTTTACAAGCACTTAACCTCTTAATCGCCAACGCAGACCCGTCCAGCAGCACTGCCTTGTAGGAAGCTCCAGTTCGGGTCGAAATAATCGCATTATCAGCGTCGAAATTGTTCGTTGCCACCAATAAATCTGCCAATTTGATCTTGTTTATTGGCTTTTGAAATAAGGATACTTGAATAAGCTTATGGGATTTCAGCAGCTCAATCCAACTACTATCATCTTTGCCCTCAACGCCGTGACTCATCTTTCTTTTTTCGCCTGCGCCAGCTCGGATAAAGAACCACCACCAAATGGCGAAACCGATGATTAACGAAACTGCCGCGCCGGTGACACCGGCTATTATAATAATCCCCAGGTTTTTACCATTCAATCCACCACATTCCGATAACGGTTTCCCACAAAGTCCATGGTTACCGTCAAAATCATCTTCCCCGAATCTGGACAGATCAGAGGGGATCGAGCCAGACAAGTCGTTACCGGCAACGGAAAACCGTTTAAGCCGGTCCAACCGAGCGAGCTCGTAAGGGATCGAACCAGACAACTTGTTATCGGCTAAAACGAGGTCGTTTAGGAACTTACAGTCGACGATCTGAGGAGGGATGTAACCGGAGAGAAGGTTACCGGAAAGATCCAGACGGACGAGGTAGGGAAGCCAAGTGCATATATCTTTCGGAATGGGGCCGGAGAGAGAGTTGTTAGAAAGATCCAGAATCTGGAGGCTTCGGCAATACTTCAAAGATTCCGGCAACTGACCAGACAGCTTCATCGAAGGCAGGTGGAGGCTGATAATTCGGTTTTCCTTCTCGTTCCAGCAGGAAACGCCGGTGAGCTGGCAAACGGAGGTCGACGAGCGGTTGCTGAAGCTCCACGTGGAGAGAGGGGAGCCGGCGCCGATGAGGGCGCTTTTCAGCCCTTCGAGACAAGCGATGTCATCTTCGATGGCGAAAGAGAAGAAGAGATTGAAAAGTAAAAACAAGAAACTCATGAAAATGGGACTGTTCTTCATGGCTGAGCTTTTTTTTCTTCTTTTTTTTAACAGAAAGCAGAGATGGCGGTTATGTGAGAAAACGAAACGGAGGAGGGAAATGGGCAGCTGGCATTGACTGTTTGGAGACAAAGAAAGAGATGGAGAAGGGAGGGAAAAGAAAGGAAAGCAATGGCTCCTCTGCTCAGTGCTCACTGCTCAGCTCAGCTTAACTCAGCTGCTGTTTTAGGTTACCTTTATTGACTGCCAGTTGAATATTTTTCATGTTGGGCTTTTGTCTTTTCCTCATTCAGCATCCCTTTTGTTGTGTTATAATTACTACTCTTTTCAGATGTAGATTTGATTTCTATGCGACGCCGTATTTTCTGTTCTCGTTGGAAATTAATTTGATTATTTTAGGATAAATTCTTTCAATTGTCACTCAAATTTTAAGATACTAACTTTTTTGTCACCATAAAAAAGTCACTAAACTCTTAAAACAACAACATTTTGATCCCTCATACTTTAAATTCACTTACATCCATCCATTTCAGCTGTAATCTTTTTTATTATTTTATTAAAAAAACCTAAAACTATCCTAACTTAATTTAAACAAGTCCAGGTAGTTATTTTTTTCCCTAAATAAGTTCCTATCTTATAATCCGTAGTCATAGAAGTCCTTGTTTTTAATTAGTTGACAATTTTTATTGCACCTGATTGTGTGGTTAGACATTTATATATTACAACCAATAAATTTCAAAATAAAAATTAAAAAAATTGTCAATTAGTTAAATTCAGAATCTTCTATGAGCATGCAATAAAGAGTAGAGGTTTATTTAGGTGAAAAAAGCTACAAGGATAGGCTATGATATAAATATACTAAAAACTTAATAAATTAACGATTAAGTAACCAAATAATTAAGGTTCGAAAAATTGAATGACGATTTAAATAATTTATCTTTATTTTTAATTACTTGGTCTCTTGAGAAAGTAGATGAACGTCAAAATTAGTAGTCAAGATTTCTAAATTAAGGAAATAGAAACCACTGATGCATTGATTGAGAGCGATGGGTCTTCATGGGGATGCGAAGACAAAGAACATGCAGCCATGTTTTGGGTTAACTGTAGGAGACCCCACCTTTTCTTCAAAACTTATGATATTTAGATAAAGAATTTACATTCGATCGAGTTGAGCAAAATTTTTAAGTTATTTAAGTTGATGAGTAGGATTTTACAATTTGAATTTAATTTTTTTTTAAATCGAGTCGAGTTTAAGAAATTTGAGTTGAGTTACTCGAGTTGAGTTATTTGAGTTTCTATGCTAGTTTTATTATAATTATTTATAATATTATGGTAAAGATTGATTCCAATTTTCCAACTTTCTCTAATCATATAAGATATATATATTTCATATTCTTTTTACATTATAATGTTACTTAAAACTATGTATCAAATACAATCTAAAATTATAAAATAGTATGTTTATAATATTATATTTTTCTTTACTTTGAGGGTAAAATACTGTGAGAGTATGAAAGAGTAAAGAAATTAATGGGAAGAAAGAATTTGCAAACAGTGGCGGTCAAAAAGCGAAATTGATTAAAATGTAATGTTATGGGATTATATAAAAGAGAGTGGACATTTTTAGTAAAAAAAAGTAAGGGTTGAAGTTACATAGGTATTTTATAGTAGTATATGAGCACATGGTTCAAATTTGGTTAAAAATTTAACTTAAAATAAAAGATTAATTGAATAAATAAGGAAATTATGAAAAATTGAGGGACTAAATCAAAAAATAAAAAACTTGTTGTCTAAAAGTACATATGTATTTTAAGATGGTTTAAGAGCAAGTTGTTCAAATTTGGTTAAAATGACTTAAAATGAATGAGGAATTGAAGGAAAAATAAATTACGAACTAAATCATAAAATTATCAAATAAATAGTCATTTTTTATTTTTTTGAGTAACTCGAAATTTCTATTTTTTAACTCGATTCAAACTCAAACCGAATTGATCATTTGAGTTGAATCGAATAACTTAAAATTAAAAAATATTAATTTTTCAAGTTGAGTAGGGTTTTTACTCACCCTTATAATTTATTAGATGAATTTAGTGATAAAATAATCTTATTTTTAAGAATTTAGATTTTAATTGTTTAATTTATAAAGTGTATAAACTTTATTAATAGATTAAGAAAAAAATTGAATAGATAATGTGACATAATCACTTCAAACTATTATTTGTTTTTTGATAAAACTGGAGTGTATGCAAGACACTCTATGTTCAAAGAATCTCAATCATTTTGACAATAAACGCTCATACTCCTGACATATGTGATGCTCAAACTTAGGATATCAAATGATAACAATAAGTCCCTTAGGTCATCTCCAGCCCTCATCTCTACTCTACAACATTTTTATCTCTACTCTAAAGATGAAACAGTAATTCATCTCCAGCACTATCTCTACATTACCACCAACTCTACTTTATTTACAATATTTAACTATTAGTATGTTTATTTATCTAATTTTACTGTATTTTTTCTATCTTGCAATTTAATCTACTTGAATTTATTATATTATGTTTAATTTTTATTTTATTGTGTAGAAATTACAATAAAAAAATATAAAAGATAGAATAAGAGAAAATAATGTAACAAAGAAAAGAAAAAGAAAATAACAAAAAAAAGTAAAAAAAAATAACGAAAACCAAAAATCAGAAAAATAACAAAAAAATATTATGTAGCGCAACTACAGTGCTAAGCCAGATGTAGAGTATCACCGTAGCATCTCCACATTTCAGATTCTACTTTAGAGATGGGTTGGAGTGAAAATTCATCTCCAAAGTGGAGATTTTATCTATTTTGGAGATGCACTGGAATTGGTCTTAACCACTGAAATATTTTGATTATATTAAAAACTTTTTTTTATCTTTATGTTCTCTCTCTAAAATTTTTGTTCGCCATAATTTTAGAATTTGAATTCTATCGTATATTTTATTAATTTATATTTTTAATTTTTTTTTAAATATTTTAAACTTTTCAAATTTTGTATGTAAAATTTATGATGGCATCACACAATTTCAAAGTACCACGTAATCATACCTAGAGATATTACAAATCAAAATAAAAATATTTAATGGAATTTAAGTTTCAAGATTAATATGAATAAAAGTTCATGACCCAAATTTAAAAAGTATCAAATTAAAGGACAAAATGAAGTCTTATTCCATTTGAAAACTAAACTAAGTCTAGTGTTTTTGCTCATTAAAGGTATGTTTGTTTTCATGTAATTGATTTTTCTAAAAATATTTTTCTCATTTTTCAGTATTTGGTTTGTGGAATACATATAGTCAATGTAATTCATTTTCTTTGTCAACTGAATTTTCTTTGTATTTTTTTGGAAAATAACTTACATCTGATTTTTCGCAAGTCATTTTACAAACTTTTAACTTCAAATCATAGACATTCAAAACATTATTATTTTATATATTGAATATCAATATATTATTTTAGTATAATTTTAATAAAAATATTAATTATTAAATTATATTTATTGATAATTTTAATAATATAATATAATATTATTATAATTATATTATTAAATATATAAAATTATACTTTTATTTAATTATATTTAATAAATTATTAATAAAATAAATATTATTTATTAATTTCATAAAAAATATTATTGAATTGTTGAACATTTAATATATACTCCTTAAAATATAATATAATATTCTTATTTTAATATTATAATTTTCAATATTTTAACAATATTATTATTTTAATAAATAATTAATATAATTAATAATATATTATTCTTATTTTAATAATTAATTACTATAATTTATAATAACTATATTTTAATAAAATATATTGATCATAATATTTTATTTATAAAATTACAGATATAATATTTTAGTATAATATTGAAATAAATAATGTTAAATAAATTATTTTAATATTTAAAAATAATACTATTATTTTGTAATAAATAATAGTATTTATTGTATTTGATGTTTATAATAATTTTTTTAATTTACCAACAAGTGAAAAATTAAATTCACAATATCATCCAATACCGTAAAATATTTTCCAAAAATATTTTCATAAAATATAATTTATTTTACAAAACTTATTTTTAAAATATATTTTTCAAACCCTAAATCATTATAACGCAACAGTTTGATGATTGGATGGTCAAAGGGAAATGACGTGAGGACTAATTTGTCATTTTCAAGGCAAATCAAGGGCCATTTTCCCAATAAATCAATCTTTCTCTCTTTATTTTTATTTCTCGATCCAACACTTAAGGCGCGGCTCATCGCGCCTTACACTAATATGACCCCATGTGAGGTAAGGCTCGGCCATGCACTATGCCTTATGAAATGTGTAAAAAACTGAGTGTTATTTTTATAAATATTTTTAAAATAATGTATATTATGTAATTAATTTTTATTAGGTGATATTTGTGTAAAAAATCAACTTTATTTATTTATTTTTTGTTTTGGAAAAAAATTCTACATTAAAATTTTAAATATTCTATTGCAAATTATTTTATAACTCGATAAATTTTAATTTTTGCATGAAATTAACAATACATAATCTAGTATAGGAAAACTTTGAGGGAAATTATTTTAAAATATGAATAATTTTTATAAAAGTTTTATAATTAGTATTTCTTTTACAAAAGGATGATGATGATGATATAATAAATATTTTATAATTTAAAAAATTATAAAATTCATATATTTTTGAAAATTTATTGAATTTTAAAATTAATTGTTTAAAAATATAAAAAATATTAAAATAAATTTTAATTACAATTGAGGGATCAAATGAATTATTATTCATTAATTATTATTTTTTAACAACAGTTAATAATGTTTATTTATTTTTAATAAAATTAGAATTTAATATTAATTTTATATTTTTAAAAATTAATATTAGAAAGAATATTTTAAATAAAGATGTGATATTTTTTAAATTTATATTCTTTTTTATTGAATTTTATTCACTTTTAATTATTTTTTATTGCATTTTTATTAATTTTTAAAAAAGAATAATAATTCATTTGATCTCTCAATTATATTTAAAAGTTTATTTTATATTTTTAAACAATTAATTTTAAAAGTCAATAAATATTATTAGTTGTGGTTAAAAATAATATCACACAAAAAAAGTGACGTTTTTATACAAATATCACCA